GCTCTCCCAGCCCCTTTCAACTCTAAGTTATCATTTCAGAACTAATTGCGGTGTTGAGATTTAACCATTGCAAAAACATTGTCTTGTCCATTTTAAAGAATTTTTGGAAGTTAAAACATGATGAAGCTTGGACCTGAACTCTTAATATATTGCATTGGAATTTTTTTCTGYAAGTACCTTTTTGTGTGGAAGGAGGTGGCAGATACTTCTTTTCCTTACTTGTGTGCACGCATGTGTGTTCACACACTCAGATKGCACCTTAGTCTAGTGCAGGATCCACCAGCCCTGGGAACCCAAAGGGCGTCCCCAATGTCTTTGAGTCTCAAGTTTTTCATCTTTAATGATGGAGAGTCTGAAAAAACTAAATAAATAACTGCCTCACAAGGTCATTGAGAGAACCAACTAAGACAACATACATAACAGTATTTTCACCCTACTCAGAACATAAAGAACATATAATAAGTATTAGCTTATGTTACTTTTCTGTAAAATAAATCTGAATCTTGATTAACAAATTGGTACAAAATTTGTCCTATTTTTTCTTCTTTCTGGAAACATCAAAAACAATATCMATAGGCCCATAGACTGGAATGATGTCCCTCAGAGAACTTGATTAAATTTACTTATGGTTTGTTTTGTTCATTTGCTTGCCAAAGCATTTTTCTTTATTTATTTTTACATTAACAGATAAAACTGTTCGTATTCATCGTGGGCAACATGATGTTTTGAAGTATAAGTATWATGTGGAATGGTGACAGCTCCCTAATCCATACATGCACTAACTCATATAGTTATCATTGTCTGTGGTGAGAATATTTAACACCCACACTCTTAGAATTTTCTAAGAATACAATGTATTGATTTACTGTATTTTATACATCATCACTRTCTGTGAATCTGTGACCTCATCATGAAGTTTATTTGTAAGGGAAGAGAAGAGGGAAAGGGAGAAAATGGGTGTCTTTCACAGGCCTCTGTGAAGCGATGCTTTTCCTTTATAAATGTGCACGTGCAGTAAAACAGTGGGATATTTTTTCTTTTCAATTCCAAAGGGCCAATCAATATTAATAAAAAAAATTAATCAATTCAGTCAAATTGTCTACATCCGTGATGTCATTTAGACTCAGTCTATATTTTTGTCAAAATGCTCACATGTAGTATTAAGATATCACTTGTTGTTCAAAGCCTTCCCTGAAGTTTTCTGGGGTTTTTTTCCTCAAGAATTCCAGGACATTTTGTTGGCTTTGAACCATATTAAATAAGATCCATGATAGTTTTCTTATACTCTGCACAGCCATTTGCTTCTGTTTTCCCTGAAAAATGAATAATAATTTTATTTTTATATCTGTAGTTCTTAGAACATAAGAGAAATCATAAAACATGTGAATTACTAGACAATCTGCTCCAGTCTTTGGGAGCTCAATAAACAGTTGAAGTTGATGTCTACAAATGTAGATAAAACCAGCTTTGTAGAATATGCATGCTCAATAATTACAAAACATCTGTAAGGGGAAAACTGATGTATGTGACTAAGAATACTTACAATTAGACTTCTGTGGTTTCTCCTATCCTGCCCGCAAAGTAGAAAATGGGAGCCATCCTTTGCCTTCGACCAGAGTCTAAATATCCTACATATAGGACCTTACCTAGAGAACAACCAGGTACCAAAGTATTTGTGTGGTATTTCAAGGTTGGTAACGCTTGCATCTTCCCAGTGCAGAACAGAGCTTCATGGAAAACCAAGTTATTTACACTTAGGGTAAAGAACCTCAGAGAACAAGGATCCCTCCTAAGTTTCCCCTATCTGGGAAAGTACATAAAACATAATAATAAAGTAAAGAAAGGGCAGTATTTAGTAAGCACTTCCTGATTATCGAACTGGTCTCTTTCACATAGGTGATCCCAATGAATCCCCTCCAATAGCCCTGGAAAGCAGAAATTACTCTTCTCATCATACAAGGGAGGAAACAGGCCATGAAGATGTAAGGCCTCACCACTATAATACGCCAGATTCAGATTAAAACCTATATCTGTCTAAACTCAAAACCCATTTGATCCCTGCATTACCTGGCTTCTTAGGAGAAAATTTTAGATCACATATGTAGAAACTCATTAGTAGTATTGATAATTAGGGAATCTAAAATTAGAGAAAGGTAACAGTGTGTCTGTGATAAATCTATGAACCTACTGGGCAATAAAAAGTCTTATGTTAGTTTTTGGCAAATAACCACAGGAACAACATGGAGCAAGAAGAGTATATTTGTCCCTTTCACAGAGCTGGGGAAGTTTAAATACTATTATGGAAATAGAAACATCAGAGATCAGGCAGCACTCCTTTAGGAGAAGCAATGGTGCTTGCCTCTATTGGTGCTTGTATCTGAATTTAAATTCCCAGAAACTCAATAGTACCATTCTCATGATATTGTGCCAAGCATTATTTAGTTCATCCTGTCCGTAACAGATGTAAAGAAACCCAGGTATAAGTKTTAAAAATTYTTTATCCAWTCATCTATTGATGGGCACCTGGGCTGGTTCCATAATAACTTGGCTATTGTGAATTGCACTGTGATATATATTGATGTGTCTGTATCACATATAAAATGCTGATTTTTGTTCTTTTTCTAAATGTTGAAGAGTGGGATAGCTTTTTGAATAATCTCCATACTGTTTTCCAAAGTGGTTGTACTAATTTGCAGTATATGATTGTATCTTTTCCCTTGTACCATCACCAGCGTTTATTAGTATTTTTGTTCTTGAKGATTGTTATTCTAATTTGAGTGAGATGAAATCTCAATACAATTGATTTACATTTCTCTGATTGCTGGGGATAGAAATAGTGAACATTTTTTCTTATATTTATGGGGCATTTTATTTCTCCTTTTGAGAAATATCTGAATAGGTCAAAATGAACATTGCTATTCTGTATAGCTATAAAGAATTAATAAAAATATTAAAAATTTTTTTTCTATGGATATATACAAGAGTTGTCTTAGTAGTACTCTTATAATTCCAAATGAATATCAATCATGCAAATCACTATATTTTAAATAATAATCTCTTCTGAATATGTCTGATTCTTGAACCAAAGTCAACATGAAGCCTTGGGCTGGGACTTATTTATATGTGTATCATTATCACATACAGCTCCTCACACATGATTATAATCATACTGCTTAATATTCATTGTGTACTGTCTGGTATTCTTGAGTCAATTGTTCTGTGTTAAGTTTTTGTTATTACTATCAGTTAAGGTAATAATTAGTGATATTTTTAAATGGGATGAATAAAGTGTTATTTCTATAATGTSTATATTCCAATATACTTTAGAGAGCTGCAAATGTACTAGAAATTGGGAATAATATTAGGTGTATGGAGTTCCAATGACCAGCTATCCTATTCAGAACTATTTTCTTATTTTAAACCAAAAATATTTTTTTTTAGGTTTGAATGAATGATCACTAGGACATGTGGTACATAAATCCTTAAAAATTCTTGATATTGAGCAATCTTCATTCCCAGGGTAACACTCAGGATTCTCTTACTTCATGAATTTGATGCCATCAATGAGATCAGTAATAGCTTAACAAGTTAGTTTTTTTTATTTATCTAGTAATTATTTATTGAGAGGTTATTAAATACTGGTGACTAAATAGAAATCAGGTGAAGACACATGAAATTCCCATCTTTCCATCAACAGTACAAAATCTAGTGGAGAAGAGAGAGATGAGAACAATTCAATCTAATACTTCAAAATTAAGTGACTGTCTTATTAAATTATCTTTTGATGTTTTATGTGAGTTCTGAAGAAGAAAGAACTTCTCTTACCAGGACCATGGAAGCTTCCAGAAAGTGTGGACTAGCTGTGACTTCAGAACAGCTATATAATATCTATAAGTATAAATGGGTAATAAACAATTTTGAGCAAGGAATAAAGACAAAGAAGGCCCAAACTTCKTTTCCTAATACTAACACATAATGGTACAGAAGAACATTAGAAATATAGTTTGGTTCCCTAGATGAAAGACTTTGAAAAACTGGAGGGTTTGAACTTTATTCAACAGGCATGAGTAAAATTTTTGAGGACRGGAGAACTGTCATGCAATTTATGTATCAGAAGGTTTATCTGGCTTCAGGGGAAAGATAAATCAAAGAGATGTGAGTAGTAGTGGGCAGGAGAGCCACAACATAATTTCTGTAGTGGTTAAGGGGAATGATGGACATGCACAAAAGTCCTGAAAAAAGATTGCGGTTCTGCTGTGGTAGAAAAGGCTCTCAGACTTGCACTGGAGGGTGTGTGGCCTGCTCCATCTTGGGCTAGAGGCACTTAAATAAGAAGTGAATGTTTCCAGCTGTTGGAGCCGAATAAGAATACAGAGGTAATAGTCAGCATAAAGAGAATATGAGAAAATAGAAATAATGATTCCTGCCAAGAAGTAAAGCAAGGAGTGTGGAAGAGAATATAGTTTGAGCTATGGAGAGATTAAATTTAAGAGTTTAAAAGTAGAAGTTTTGATATAAGGAAATACAAACAAAAAGAATATGAAGATATATATATATATATATAAATTATATATAAATATATAATTTATATATATAAATTTCAGATGGTCTACTTTCTTTGCAACTGTGGAAAATCTTTCCCTAAAATAGTGTGGATGCAAGAAAACCAAATGAACAAGTGTCAAATGAACAAGTGGAAAAATTGAAATGTCAGCCACCTTGTGGGGATGGAGACATGATTGAATCTGAAATGGCAAGAACTTCTTGGCTGTGGTGTTAGAATGACCAAGGAGACCTAAAAKCTAATGAAAACTGACTCAATTTTAGGTATTTCATTTACTGAAAAATTAGAAGGGAGAAGGAATGATGTATTTTGAACCCCAAATATGAGAATGCCTGCTCTGCCATGATTAATCTCCAGTGATTCTCATAATTTTCAGGAAGCTTTTTGCCACTCTCTCTTCCTCTCTCCTGGACTGTTTCCTGAGGATGTACCCTCCATGGAGTGGACCAATGACACCGTGGTGAGAGAGTTTGTCTTCCTGGGCTTCTCTGCTCTGGCTGGGCTGCAGCAGCTGCTCTTTGTGGTCTTCCTGCTCSTCTACCTCTTCACACTGGGCACCAATGCCATCATCATGTCCACCATTGTGCTGGACAGAGCCCTTCATACCCCCATGTACTTCTTCCTCTCAGTCCTCTCCTGCTCTGAGACCTGCTACACCTTTGTCATTGTGCCCAAGATGCTGGTGGACCTGCTGGCTCAGAAGAAGACCATCTCGTTCCTGGGCTGTGCCATCCAGATGTTCACCTTCCTCTTCCTGGGCTGCTCTCACTCCTTCCTGCTGGCAGCCATGGGCTATGATCGCTACGTGGCCATCTGCAACCCGCTACGCTACACAGTGCTCATGGGCCAYGGGGTGTGCTTGGGATTAGTGGCTGCTGCCTGYGCCTGTGGCTTCACTGTGGCTCAGATCATCACATCTTTGGTWTTTCACCTGCCCTTCCACTCCTCCAACCAACTGCATCACTTCTTCTGTGACATCTCYCCYGTCCTCAAACTGGCATCCTACCATACCCACTTCAKTCAGATTATCATCTTCATGCTCTGTGCATTGGTCTTGGTTGCTCCTCTGTTGTTAATCTTGGTGTCCTACATTCGTATCATCTCAGCCATAGTCCAGTTTCCTTCCACCCTGGGCAGGTACAAAGCTTTCTCCACCTGTGCTTCACACCTTATGATTGTCATTGTCCACTATGGCTGTGCCTCTTTTATCTACCTAAGGCCTAAGTCCAACTACTCATCGAGCCARGATGCTCTGATATCAGTATCCTACACTATCCTAACTCCATTATTCAACCCAATGATTTACAGCTTAAGAAATAAAGAGTTCAAATCAGCGCTTYGTAGAGTTGTGGGAAGAACAATTTCTCTGCCACATTAATGTGGATCCTTCCTTTCTAAACAGTGAAGCACAAGGTTAGAATTAAGGTGGACCTCTCATTCAGGGGGGAATAATCCCCAAAGTGAAATTGATCAAGCAATTGAGCACCATGTTCAGGGACAGAGAATATTACTCCCCTGTTTCCAAATACAAAGTTCTAAAAAAACGTAACATCTTGACTTGGTTGCATGAATTATTTCCAATGTCAAGTTTTTCTTCTCAATTGAATGAAAAATAATAGATGGAAACTATAAGAAAACATACATTCATTCAGAATTCTAGGCCTGGCAAACACYATCACAATCTCAACCAAACTAGAAACCAACCCTGGAAAATATAAGTAGATACCTAACTCTGTTCCAGGAACCCAGGAAATCCCTGCCTCTCCCTTGCACTCTTTCTGAATATTTTCTGCGTCTCAGTCTTTAAATGACATAATATTTTTCTAATGCATGTTACAAAGTTTGGTGCATAAGATATATTCAATTAATTCTCAAGTAAGAAAATTATACACTTTCTCTGTTGCTAATGGATTAACAGGAGATGATATTTTTCTAATTTTTTTATGCACCAGAACATATCTAAATTTGGTGGGCATACCTTGGAGATATTCCTAGCAGCATATGTTGAAGACAAAAAAAATCTAAAATCACAAAGATTGGCCAAGAAAGGCAAGCTAAACTGAAATCCATTTCTTCAGACATTCACCGAATGGGAAACTGTGTAAAGAGAAACCAGTCTTCTGTTGTTATTCATGCACCTTAAGAGTGTGTGTGTGTGTGTGTGTGTGTGTGTGTGTGTGTGTGTGTGTGTAGAACATTAGTGAGACATTTTAGGAGCCCTCCTACCTGCAGGAGTGAGAACAAACAGGAAGCTCTGCTAGAGATGCCTCCTCACAACATGTCTTTTCAAGATCCACTTATCAATAAAGGTCTTCTGATTGATTAACTTTGATTCTGGGTGTTTTCCTTTTCTTCCACAAATCTCCTCACCAATGAAGCAAGAAGGAATAAAGCTGGATCTCTCCCTCAGAGGCCCTGTTTTTGGTTGATGACAAGGAWGTCTCCCAGTGAGGTTAGTCAACTGCCTTTCTTTTATGAAACTTGAGACTTGCRGAGGATAGGACGTGGAGATAAAGAAAACTAAAGCCAGATCATTTATGTCGTCACCCAATTCTCACTTGTTTTGGCTTCCTTGCTTATTTCAGGCCCCTAGCCTATCAAATTGTCTCATGAAAGGGAAATTAACTGATAACCTCTAACATGAATCCGTTTAATGTGTTAGTTGTTTACACCTGCACTGTGCTGTTATTTAAAAATGCTATACTTCATTTACACTTGAGAGCAGCCTTGGGAAGCACATATTATGATCCAAATGTGTAAGTGAGAAACTGAAACTCGGAGAATGAAATGACTTTCCTACTGAAAAACAGAACCGATACTGAGCACCCATGAGTTGCTTCCTTAGTTAACGCCTACGATACCCACATATGACCCCTTGCAAAGAGTGTGACTTTGCAAGAGCAGAATATATAAGTATGCATCTTTAATAATGCAAGACTAAGCCATGTGACACCAGTGGAAAAGATGCACTCTTAACATTAGACAAATGGCCTTCAAATCTYGTTTCTTTTTCAGAGTTGTGGATGCTATTATTTTGGGGTCACATGCCAGAGTACTGGCAAGTGGGCGAGATCACTGTGTGTGGAAAGGTCATGAATGTCAGAATGACTCTCCTGGCATTTTATCCTTCCTGTTATTAATGTCATGACTGAAAAACTAAGTTGACCTCAGACACACTCTCCTATTGGTTAAAACTGGACTTCCTACTCACTCCGTTCCTCTTTTCTTACATAAATGCGCACCCAYGCACATGCGCGTGCACACACGCACACACACACCCCACACACACTTTGGTTAATTTCATCTCTCCTCTCTAAATGTAACCTGTRGAAGAGTGATACGATTTGGAGATTTGGAGTTGGCTTTACCAAGGACAGCGAAGTCCTTTAAAGGCCACATAATCCAGCCAAGTTCACAGGGAAATCTGCACTTGAGTTTCAGGCATAAACTCAATCAATAATAATAAATTGCTAGTTTGCTTTTCCATTCATCAGATGTATTATGTATTTTGAATGCAGTGTAGTAAAAAAGAAAAGGTTGAACCAAGGCAGGATTATGACCATTCTGTTACCTAGGCCACAAATACTATTAGCCCACCAGATKGACTTTGTATATTAGGACACATTTCCTAGGAAGTTCACCATGAAGCAGACYCATCACAATTGAAGTAAGGGCACAGTGCTCATCAATTGCCTGATGTAAATTAGCAAGTCCGACTTGTACCTGGGAGAAGGAAGCCCACACATTAGCTGTTTCTAGCTCCCTACTTAACCCAGTATCTACACTGTTAAGGTTTGGAGAGCAGGTGCCTCCCAAAAGCTCCTGTGCTGATGCAGGAGTATTCAGAGGCATGTTTGGATTATGACAGCTACAACCCAATCAGCCATCTKTGTTGGAATGGATTTACTTGGTGGTAACTATAGAAAGGTGGGGGTATGCTGTTCTTCCTGTGGCCCCTCCTCCTTGCTCTCTCTGCCTCTTGGCCCACCAAGAGGTGAGCAGCACTCCACCACAAGCCCTTCTGCCATGATGTTCCTGGGCCCAGAGCAACGGAGCTGGCCAACCATGGGCAAAACTCTTCAACTGTGAGGCCAAAATAAACTTGCCCTCCTCTAAATTGTTCTTATCAGGTATTCTGGTCATGGTAGAACAAAGCTGACCGACATATTGACCCTCAATGAAATCATTATTTTTWAAAAAGTCATTTAGGGATGAACTCAACTATTCTAGGTAACTATAATGCTCTAATTTTTTAAAAAGTCATTTTCTAAGAATTAAAGAGATTAAGAATTAAAGTGACATATATCATGGAATATGTCACATTCTACTCCAAATATCACTTTCATGTATCTTTTCCCAAATCTTTCTTCAATTATGGCCAGTCTCCTGTTCCCTCAAACAAACCTACATTTCTCACTCTCAGCCCTGAATCTCTACTGGGTCTTGAGAAAATATCAAATTGCTGTCCCCAGCATCTGCCACCAGCAGGATGTAAGAATTCTGATTTTCCCTCATTCTTGGCAACATATTTTTCCATATTGTTACTCTTCTTAGTAGTAGTAGTATTAACCTTGTAAATGTGTTGCAATATGTTATTGTGGTTGTAAAAGTTTTTTGTATATTCTGAATCCTAGATACTTATCAGATACTTGTTACAAATATGTTCTCCCATTTTGTGGATTGTCTTTTCATTTTTTAATAGTATCTTTTGAAGCACATAGTTTTAACTATTACATTTAATTTATCTATTATATTTTTAGGTTCTTTTTATGAACCTGACTTTTTTTTTCCTGCAGTACTGAGGATTGAACAGGGGGAACTCTACCCCTGAGTTACATCCCCAGCCTTTTATATTTCATTTTGAAAAAGGATATCACTGAATTGCTTAGGCTAGCGACTATAGAACTTGGGGTCCTTCTAACTCATCCTTCTCAGCTTATCAGTAGCTGGGATTACAGGCAGGTTCCTCCACACTCGGTATGAACTTAATTCTTTAAACCTCTGTATAACACCGATAATGATAATAATAGGAGTAGATAACATATTTTGAGCACTTTTCACAAGATATATCTTTGTCCCCATATTATAACCCTTTTCTCTGGTGTTTCTATTTATTGATAAAGAAATTAAGGAACAGAGCAGTAAATTGCCCATGATTAAATAATAGAAAGAAATAGAGCCAATAATGACATCAAAAGTATATGACTCCAGAGTTGCTAAATAAATATACGAGTTGATCATCTCACTCTTTAAGGGCATTTTGTCAATATAAATATAACAGCAATGAAGAAATTTTTGCATGTATACATTTGCATAATTTTACAAGTGATTTTGTAGAATTAAATACTAGAAGTGGAATTAATAAACATAAGAATAAGATCATGTTTTAAATAATTTTCAAAATAATTTTTTTAAAGTATCAGTTTTGTCTACTCCCAGTAACATAAACAATAGTRTATTTCTCAGTTCTTGCCAAACATAAAAAAAGATTGTTATTTTTTGAACCAATCAAATAAGACACAAATATCTTATTTTAGTTTATATTTCTAGTATACTTTTCATAACTTACACAAATGGTGCATAGTAAAAGAGTATGAGTTCTATAAACTTTCTGCTTGAGTTAAACTTTCATTTAGCGGTGTGACCTTGGGCAGGTTACTTAATTTCTTTGTCTATCACTTACATCATCATTTAAATTGTAATGTAATATTATGTAAATAATGAGTAAAAGTGAGGATTATATTGACCTAATATTTTCACTGTAATTTGTCAGATAATAGTGCCTAGAATATAATATATTTTATGAAAATATGACTAGTGTTACTCTATAAATCTTAGCCATTTGCCCTCAACATCTGTATTATAATCTCTCCTTTCATCAACTAATGTGAAATACAACTTTTACTCAATTCTGTATTGTAATATATGTAGATCTGTCTTCAAGTAAATCTTCTCTATTCTTTCAATAAATTTTGAAATTTTTCCTATAGAGTTCAGATATATTTTTTTAAAATTCATTTCTATTTAAATGCTTTTATAGTAGTATATTTTATATTTTTTTTCAAAATTTTTCTTGTGATATTTATAAAAACAGCTACTACAAATTTTGTATCTAGTAAAATTACTAAACTATTAATTACTAACTAAATTATTAATTACTGATTAATTCAAATACATCTTTAAAAATTATTTCAATCACCTACAAATACAATAACATAAAAAACAAATAGAAATTTGGGATTTGTCTTTTATTTCTCTGGCTATTTTTTAAATCAACTTATGATGTATCCAGGACCTTAAGTAAAATATTGAAAAGAAGGAGTATTAATGAGCTMTTGTTTATATCTCAAAGGAAAAACTTTCACTATTTTGCTTTTAGGTTTAATATTTGTTCCAGCTTCTTTGTAAGCAAATGTCCTTAGATTAATAAAGTAGCTTTCTATTCTTGATTGGTTAAAAATAAATACATATATGAATTATCAAGATTGTCCTTCTTTAATCAGTTAAGGTAAAGAATTACAGTAAAATTTTTATAATGCCAAACAAAGAATCACTTTCATTTKGGGAATTGAACTTAATTTACTCCATTTTCTGTTATCTTTTTGCCATATGTGCTAATATTTGTTATAAGCTAATATTTGTGTGTGTGTTCTCAGTGGAAATGATATGAAATTTTCTTTTCTCTCAGAATTCTTATTAAGATTTGATCTCACTATTTTTTTCAAGAACGAGCTGGGGATTTTCCCTTTCTTTATGGTCTCTGAACAACTTATGAATTATTGAATGTACRGTATTTTTGTTGAAGCTATTG